CATAATTCTCAGGGTGGCCCCGAGCACCAATCTCTGCCAGTAGACATCAAGGTCCCGAGCATCGAACCTTGAATTCTCATAGAGGCCTGCAACTTCGGTTCTCATAATATTATTACTTTCTGGCATGGTGAGAACCCAACATCATGCCTGTTCACATCATATACAAGCTTTCATGCCAAGATCTCACAAGCACAACATAGATATTGATCAACTGCTAGCCTAAAGCCTCTAGGCTCATTTCATCCCACAAAACTCATTTCTTAAGGCCTCGACCTTTTGCCTCATTTTAAGCTGCCCACACGCATGATGGACATTTAGCATCATGCCCGTCCCGTTTCGGGGACTCGAGTGTACTACCTCAACCGCAACATCCCTTTACCGTTTGGCCACAAAGGTCCAACAGCATGCCTGCCTAATAGCCTCATTATCCCTCAAGCTCGATGGTGCCCCTCCTACACAAATACCATTTTATGATCCTTTCAGCCTAAGAGGGGAAATCGAGGGACAGTGAACATTATCACCTAACCCTATGATATAACACGAATGCATGATACGAGGCCTGCCGACCTTAACCATCCCTGGGTTTACCATGATCCGAGGAGATACCGTGCCACACTCGTAACCCTACGATGCCCGTCCACTTAAACACCACATGTGCCTAGGAGTAGCTTACTTTAAACTAGCCAAACCTCTCCGCCTGCCTGCTAGCCAAAGGGTGGTGGAAAGCTAACACTAGATGTTCCCCCATAAAGAGCATAAGAGATTTTTCAGGCCTTTTACCAAGAACCGTAAGACTATTTAAAATGTGAATAATTTTTTCTCCAGCTATCTCAAGGCTTTTTTTCAACTAACTTAGGGCCTTATGACATTTTTCTTGGTCACTACGATTCTCTACTTCTACTTGTTGCTCCACCAATTCACTCGAAAGTGCCTGTACATGATTTCGATCGATAACACCCCGACTGGCTACCTGACTCGAGGGTGCTAGCCCACTAGCTCGAACATCCTGCATACTTTGGGGAACTAAGGTACATATTGCCCGCACACTTCATCAACATCATGTTTCAGGGCTTACACTACTTGCTCGTTGCTCTTAAGACCACTGTCCTGCTAACATAGCCTCAATCACTGTTCAGCTCAAGGTCAGTCATGGTAAGATTGAGGTATATCAGGACCTAACCATGACACTCTCTCCCACTTACTATTTCAATGCCCTTATCGACGCCAAGACCACACCCAACTTTTTTGTTACATACAATTGATATTTTCTCATATGTCCTTCACTTATGCCCTCAAGGATTGAGTTGTGATCCCGTCAAATGAGGCATCGCCCACAGTACTCATTCATTGTCAATATAGATGGGTCTCATCCCAGCTCTACTACATCTCTATGTGATTTCCATCTTAAACTATCATATTCTATCTCGATTACTCAATATGTGCCACTGCACTGCTTTATCCATAATCTCATAATGTTATGATCTCGAGGCACCCTTGTCAATCATAACCCTCAGTAGAATGAATGACCATCCATTTTGTCACACATTGGTGTGCCTCGTTAGATGTGACCCATATCACCAATTGTACGTCTACGGTACCGACTTTTTGATGTGCCTCTCTGGATTTGGTGCTTTGGTCAACCACACTCATATGGCACCACCCATAATAGACCCTAGCATGGTGACATTCAAAAACTTTGGTCATCTTACAACTTAGGCCTTTTGGCCCTTTTAAGGTCATTTCTCTAAGTGTGATGCTCTGGTCAATCGTCATTATGGTGGCACTTTAACACACTATTCGATCTCTATCTCAGATTCAAACATAGTGCTCAATAAACTTATAGGCTCTATCTACTGCCTTGGCTCAGTTCCATAAAGAATCACACTTCTTTCCCACTTTACTCAAACTTGGCTCTGTGCACAACCATGTCTCCACGATGGTTCCATAACTCATCTTGCCTTGACTCTGGCATATAACTTAAATGGCACTTCAAAGCCCACTCATCTCAAAAATCCATTGATCCAACTCTAAACATAAGATTTCTTGATCGGCTCAAACTCAAGGTTTACCAACCAACTCGATTCTCAAGGTCCACTAACCTACTTGAACTTAAGGCCATCCCATAGGTTGATATCTTGCTTAATCTCAATCGACTTAATTCTGCCTTGCTCAAACTTATCCAGTTCGTTGAACAAATCTTATTCGAATGCCAATACCCTTGGCTTACTCAACTCGATCGATCCTCTGACCCACACATCTCAAGGCCTTGTCAACTAGCCAATTTTTGCTTGCTTGTTACACTAAATTGCACACTATCATGGCCTACTGACTACCACATCTCATAAGGCCTTCCCTTTCAGCTAACATAAAGCACAATCCACTGATTAGCACACTCTCGTGATCTTTTAGCCATGAGAACTCATGGTCCACTGACCATCATAACTCACAACTTCAATCCTTAACCAATTCAAACTCCTTTACCTCTGTAAAATGGCTCTACATTTAAGCCCAAGCACTTGGTTTGTACCTCTACTAGGGCACCTGCACCATACAATAAGTGCACACATTAGTAATTGATCTCAATATGCATGACTCGTGTCTTTTAGGACAACACTCATGCGACCATTATGGCCTTACTCAACACCATTTCATGGTGTATGCCCCATTTGCATTTCAATTTCACCACAGTTTTCCAACCATAAGAGCATCACATGCTCGCACACGCCAACACCATCTGTTAAGTGAGGCTAGACTCTTATGCTCTTTTGTTTGGCATCTAATAGCCTACTCGAAAGCCTTTCACCTAGGCCAATTTTTTTCATAGCAAGCATCATTGGCTCATTCCTGAGCCCTCATAACCATAAAACTGCATTCATACCTCGATGGCTCTTTTTGAGCTTAGTACCGTAATAATTTCATGTTATCATACCCACACCTAGGGCCACATTAATCCCACCGTTAAGCTGAACCTAGCTCTAATACCAAATGTCACAGGTCATGAGTTTCTTAGACCAAAATCATGCGTCCATGCGACACCAAGACTACTTATACTCGAGGTCAGCCTTTTGCGAGTCCATTTTCCTATGGACAGCTCCATATAGATCCTTTAAGTCATATACACATGAGCATTTCTTGGCTCAGACCCTGTAGGGTTGCACATTTCTAAACTTAATAGGGAAGAACCTAACTTCCATCAATTCATCAGCCCATGATTCTCAGGGTGGCCCCGAGCACCCATCTCTACTCGTAGGCATCAAGGTCCTGAGCACCAACCCATAAATTCTCGTGAGGGCTTGTAGACCCGATTCTTATAATATTATTGCTTTCGGGCACGATGAGAACCCAACACCATGCCCATATACATTGTACACAAGCTTTCATGCCAAGATCACGTAGGCACAACACAAATGCTAATCAGCAACCAACATAGAGCCTTTAGGCTCATATTATCTCACGAAACTCATTTTGTAAGGCTTTAGCCCTTAATCTTATTTTAGGCTACCCACACATATGACGGACACTCATATCATGCCTATTCTGCCTCAAAGACTTAAGTGTGCTACTCCAATTGTAGCACCCCTCTACCGATTGGCCATAAGGGTCTAGTAGCGTGCTTACTTGCTAGTTCTCTCATCCCTCAGGCACGATGGTGCCTATCCTATATAAACACAATCTCATGATTCTTCTGGCTCAAGAAAGGGAAACCAAGGGGCATAGTGAACGATACTGCTTAACCTTATGGTTCAACACAAAAGCGTGATACGAGGTTCGTCGACCCTAACAATCCTTGGGTTTTTCATGACCTGAGAAGATACTGTGCCACACTCGTGATCCTATGATGCTCTCTCACCTAGACACTATATGTGTCTAAAAGTAGCTCACTTTAAACTAGCCAGGCCTTTCCTTCAGCCCGTTTGCCAAGGGGATGGTGGAGAGCTTACACCAGACGTCCTCCTATAAAGAGCGTAAAGAATTTTTCAAGCCTTTTACCAAGAACTGTAACATTGTCTAAAATGGGCATACTTTTCTTTTCAGCCATCTTAGGGCGTTTCTTCAATTAACTCAAGACCTCATGACCTTTTTCTTGGCCACCACAATTCTTTGCCCTTGTTCGTTATTCCACCAACTCACTCGAAGGTGCCCACACATGATTTCAACCGACAACACTTGACTGGTTACCCAACTCGAAGGTGCCCTTCTACTAGCTCGAACTTCTTGTATACCTTGGAGAACTAGGGCACACACTACTTGTATACTTCATCAACATTATGTTCTAGGGCTTACACTGCCTGCCCGCTACTCTTAAGATCACTATTTCTCCAACATGACCTCAACTGCTGCTCCGTTCAGACACCAGAGCCTGACCATGGCAACTGGCCTATACACCAACAAGGGCAGGCTCTGCACCAGAGTTGCTAGCCTCGATATCACTGGTATAAGTTGGCAGAGCATTTAAGTTTGGACCTTGAACAACTTACAGTAAACTCCATAAAGGCTTTCAACCCCTTCAACGGGGCTAGATTTTCAATATACTCCACGTTAAAGCCCTTAGGAGGGTCCTTTATTTATGAAAAATCTATCTTTCTTAAGTATAAAGGTCCTACATGTAGTTGTACTCGATAAAGTACCGAGAGTCTGTACTGCAGACCAGTGCTCATGCAAACCTCGATCCACTCAGCATCCTGCTATTTTGCTCTTCTAAAGGACTGTTTTTTTCTTTTCTATTTCAGACTTCAGTTTGGCTAACTGTTCTTCTATCTGCAGAGTTTGCGCTAAGACTTGGTCCCTATCTGCTATAGCCTGTTCTTTTCCATCAAAGCTTACTTTCTTTCATTTTGGGCTTGGTTCGCCTGAACGATAACCCCTGCCTGCTCTACTTATTTTTTTCTTTCTCAACATTTTTGAGGCTAGAGTTGCTGTTATTCGAGATTTGTTGAAGCGCCTAGTTCTTCCCTATTATTTCTTTTCTTTTGGCTTGTATGGCCTCTATTTTCCTTACTAATGAGAAATTGAGGGCTTCCAGCCCTTTAATGAAAACATCCATTTCCTTCATTAAGGTAGCCTTATCAGCAATCCTTTACTTTTCCCTTTTTAGCTCCTCCTCCCTGAAGTTCAGATGAGCCACCAAGTTCCTAACTTGCTCATAAATACCCACTTTGATAGCCAGGGACTGCACAAAGCACAATAATAGATTAAAGATAGTCCTTATATGAAACACAATAAATATATAACTTCAACAACACAAACTATATCTCAATAACTAAAGGGAGCTTATTTTGCAAATTGCTAAGTAATAGAAATTGTTACGCCCTATTCTTGGCAAACTTAGGCAAGTTGGTGATAACCTACACACAAAAGGCATCAGCTATGAACAGGGTCTTGAACCTCTCATACATTATCGTAAAATTTGCAACTCACTTTGTCCAGCCTCTCTACAGCATAACCAGTAGTAAGGGCAGCTGCTTTGAGGCTTACCTCGAACTCTTCGATGGTAAGCCCACCTAACTTATCCTCTAGTGTCACATTTCTAGCCGCAATTGTTGTTGATGGAGGCAAATGAACTAAGGCTTGAGCAAGGGCTGAGGCTACAGTAGGAGCTGGTGGAGCAGTAGTTGTTGGCATGGGTGTAAGGACCCTTAATGGAGGAGGAGCAACAGGGGCCTTGGCTGGGATTGTAGGGATCATTACAGTAGCTAAAGCAGAACTTAGGGCAACGTGAGCAGGCAATGAAGTGAATGAAACTGGAACCACAGTAGAAGTAGCAACAGTAGGCGAGCCAAAACCTCCAACTGCAGGCGTCTTAGTAGGAATTGGACTAGCAACTGAAGATCTTTTACTTTTCTGCAACTCCTGGCTAATTACCCTCTGAAATTTGGCTTGATGATCTATTTCTGCAAAACAAAGACATAGGAATTAGAATCAGTTCATAAGAATAGAAGTTAGAAACAAACACAAAAGTTACCCTCAAAGGGGCCGCTACTACTTGTGCACCTACGTTCTCCCCCTTTCATTCCTTTCTACTACCTTCTACCTCTTTAACCTTTGGTGCAAAAGCTGGTGCAGGAGCTAGCATAAGAGCTATTTTAGGGGTTGATTTTGTAGCCCTGACAGAGGGGTTTTTTGGGGCGGCGAGCCTTTGGCCTCTCAGGCTCTTTAGCCTTTACAGTCTTACTCTTAACTCTAGCAATGATAACAAATCACAAATAAATGTTGTAAGTCAATAGTCACAACAATTTCAACATCATAACAATGACACAACTTACATCTTTGGCCCTTGGGATGAACCTTTACCTCTTTACCCTTGGCTTTACCTTTCTCCTAAGCCTTTTCCTCACCAGCGCCTCTTGAATAGTGGTTGCCAAGACATAGTCTTCACTAGTCATTACATAATGTTTGTGAATGTTCCTTGGTATGGCTAACTTTCTGTAGGAGATTTTGGCGTCTCTTAAAGCACACACCTGCTTGGCTTCATCCCGGCTCAATTCAAGCATCTCCCTTATAAAGGGGCTGTATATGACCACCTTATTTTGAAAGGAAACCTCACCCATGTTGCCCTGGTACATACTACCACAAACTGATCATAATACGAGTGGGTGTTAAAAGGCAGATCTATAACCACTGTTCTATCCCATGCTTGGAGAAAGTACAACCAACAATAAAACTCCTTCAGCATGTACATCATCAAAATAACATTCATCGAGGGCATCAACCGATTCAATTTACAGAAGATGGAGTATGTCACCAAAATAGCCTAAGTGTTTGGTGCAATCTAATTGGCTATGATATTAAAGGTGGTCAACAGCAAGTGAAAGAACGGGTTTAATGGTAAGTGGAACCCATAATGAAAAATTGTGTAAGCAGAACCTTGCCATGCCCTCGAACTACCCCACTTGGCGATTGTGAATCTTGGGGGAGACAGAGACACTTTGTAGATGGGATCGTTGCGATTGAACATCACACGATCCAACTCGTGCTTCATCATTATGCGGGTGGCATGGTATGCATAACCATCTGGTGGCCACGAACCTAGCTTTAAATCCTTTAGCTCTGCCTCTACCATATTCTTTCCCTTGTCCTACCCACGCCCAGTAACAGAGGCACTGGCACTACTTCCCTCGTTTTTAATCACTATGTCACTGCTGCGACTCCCACCAACGTGACTACCCTAGCCTCATAACCTTTATTAACACTACCCTTAACCTTTTCTTGGGCCCTTTGAGTATTTCCCTTCACAGCTTGGCCATTAGTGTCAGTGGCGAAGCCCTAGGCTTTTTTTCTTTATTGAAACTATCAATAACAATCATTCTCGTTGGTGACATTTTACTATTTCTCTCGTAAAACCCAAAACCCAAATACTAAACAAAAAGAAGAAAACAAATGAACCTTACACAAAAGTTAAAGAAAGAAGACTCTAGAAATTTGCAAGAAAATACAACACAGAAATAGCAAGAAACATTAATACACTCAAAAGTAGTAAGCAAAGGTGAAGATTGCAAAAATTCCAAAGTCTCTAATTTATACCTAGCCAAAGGCCAAGTGTGAAACGTCACAAATTTTAAACCATGAAGCACTAAACAACACCTTTGAAACTGTACCTATTCAAACCATTTTAATTGATTCATGAACGGTACAAAATTAATCCCCTACTAAAAACCCCTTTAGTTATCCATTTTAAAAAATAAACACATACATTCCATCTAAAAACTGGTGTATTTTCAAAAAAATACACCCACTAATGTTATTTGACAACTCTCTAGTAAAAGCTCGACACATGCCCTATTCAACCGCACCTACTAGAAACATGGGAATGTGCAACACACTGCCCCACAACACAAACTCTTATCACGTGCGCTCTACAGATAAGTACAAAATTTCACAAAAAATTTTTCTAAATCCCCACCTATTGTTCCCTGTGATTCTCCCAACTTTCAAGAACTTTCAAGCTTCCTCAAAGGCAATTACTTCTTCCCAGCATGGTACGTCAGCAATCAAACTCGTCAAACCACACCTGTCTCGCCCACAAAGACACCTTAGCACATCTGTTTGCCAAAAATGCTTATCTTGCCTTCAAGGAACACATCATCATGCCAAGCTCGCCAAGCTAAAAAAACCCTTCGCCAAAGTATCTTTTCTTTTTTTTTTTTTTCCTTTCTTTTCAGGCTTTAAACAACGGAGGGCGTTCACTTTATAACCTGTTTAGATTTGAGGGTAATTATTACACCCAAGTCAACTAGTTAATGGCATCCAACTTGATCAAAACTTGATCAGCATAATCATATTTTAGGGTTGCCCGAATAAGGCACACCTAGATAGCTAGGTCATCTGCTCTAAGAAAATGACTTGCCTTTTGTCCAAAGAATGACTTGCCCAACGTACTATTACCAACCAGTTAAAATAGTTATTTCAGAAGTAATTATTTGGCATCCAATTTGCCTAAAACCTTTAAATGCAGTTCACGCATGCCTAGGTTCATTAAATATAACTCATATCTACGCGAACTCTTCTTGAACTCTAAGTAAACACTTATTAACTATCAATTATCTCAATTAGATCACCACCTCAAGTTTCATATATAAAGTAATTAAAAGACTAGGTATATAACAAGAAGACATAACCCTACTACACACTTTGAGCTTCCCTTCATTAAAGCTTCCTTCACACCCCTCACCATCTTTTTTCTTCTTACTTTATCTTACATCTGATACAATACTGATTTGAGTATAGAAGCGTGCTTTGGAGCAATAACTTCGTGGCTATTTAACAATATTCTTTGGCTGCAAGTTCAAGTTGTCATATTCTTCAACCTCATCTGTTTCTTTCCAGTTAAGACACCTAAAAATACCATCAACAACAATAAAACTCTATCTAAATATCTCTGAGATCATCCATCTACCACCTCCAACACTTTATTTTAAAGCATTTAAGCTTAGTATTAATCTATCCAAATCCCTTTAAAAGTTAGGCCATTTACTCTCTTCCATGTAGCCGTTTATTTCTCCTATCTTAAACTACTCCAGGTTTGTATCTACTATTTCTCCAGCCATTAACAAAGTTTTTTTTTTTTTCTCTATTAAGTGCTTTGTTTTAAATACATAGAAACAAGAGTATTTTCAAGGTTAATTATTTTTCTCTAAATAATTATTTCTTTACTATTGATATTTACTCTTTAATATTTATACTTACCGTTAATTTAACCTAACCTCAAATCAAACCACAATTAAGAAAATTCAATATTTCTTGGTTTTTTCTCATAACTTTAGGTCAAAATTTATTATGGACTAGGTTTCAAGTCCTCGTTTCGTCGCAAGAGTAAAATAAAATTATATATTCATAATTTAATTGTAGAAATAAAATAAAATCATGTATTAATAATTTAAATATTAAATAATGTATAAAAGAAAAATAGTTGGATAGCTATTTATATTTTGAATATTTATATTAGTTGAAATCAATGATAATGAGATATTAAACTTATTCATTGAAGATTTATTTGTTTGTCATAATCATTGAATCACAATATTTTGTTTTCCATCCATTTCATTTTGAGCAATCCTAGAGATGAATTAAATGACATAATCCAAAATTATAAAATGCTAATGTCACTCTAATCAACAAAATAAATAGCTTAAAAGATTCAACTTAGGAAGATACTTCATAATTTGTGTCATTTTTTCCTCAAAATTTGCTTCCAATATCTTATCAGCTTTATCAATCATGAGATGCTACAAATTCACAAAAATTTAAAAATTAAATTCGTATGATGTATAACTTTATGTCTGAATAATTATAATGATTGATTTAAATTTTTTAGGTAGCATAAGGCTTTCAAGTTATCTACATGAAACAACTGTAAGCAAATGCATTTCTAAACTGGTTTATGAGTTAATAGAAATAACAATCCACTAAAAGTACTTCAACCTCCACTCTATCACATTGATAAGAAAGCATGGCATAAACATTTTACCGGCTATTATAATTAATTATAATAACTACAAAATTTGTACAAGTAACATGCATTATGAATTCATATTTAAAACAAAGATCACTTGCTCATCCAATTATCATTTAAAAAAAATGCAATAATGCAAATTCTTGTTGGTCTATCATCGAAGTTGGATCATTATACTTTAAAACATAAAATAATTTGAGGTCAATCTTTCATTGGTAAACTACATTCTAATCAAGGTAATCTATGGCAAGTTTACTAAGCAAACTACAACCCTAGTATTAAGGACCACATACAAAACAATTTGGTTGGTTTTCATGACCTAAATATGAAAAACAAGTCATATGTTGATTTCCAGAATGTCACATATCTACTGCATCTAATAAAAAATAGTATATTGAACAAACAACATACTTCTAAGGAATAAAAGTGACTTCCTTAAAATACCAAATACTCAGTGTAATCACTCCTGGTTAATAATACAATCTTAAAATAGCTATGAACAATCAACCATACAAGAAGAACTTAAAATCAAGGAAATTAAGTTAAGTAAAATATATTATAAATCTAAACCAAAAGAACATTCAAATACCATGCTAAGCAAATAAAAAAAAATGAATCATATTACAAAAGAGGTTCAGAAATGTTACTGTTACCTTCAAATTTTTATAAATGAATCCTTTAGTATTTTGAATAAGTTTAAAGAGCCAACCAAGAGTAGCCACTAACAAATTTACTCCCTTCACAATCCTTTTTGCTTCTTCTCTTCTAGTTGAACTAGCAATAACCAATCAAAGGGCCTGAGAGTGATATTTAAGAAGATCCTTTGGTATAGCATGAGTCTGACACATTTGAAGATTCCATTGCTTACTTGTGAATTACATTGTTGAAATATTAAAGGTATAATATATAGCCCAAACTAAAAGTAATTGAAATTGAAATTGTCGCATATAAAAGATAGAGAAAAAGAGACTAGGATAATTCAGTCTATGAATTCATTATAATTGTACTTTCACTTGGAAGGTTAGCCTATCTATGAATTCATTATAATTGTATGGAACCATGACTTGAAATTAGCAAGCATTATTAAAAGACCAAACACTTTAAAAACAAATGAACATAAGTTTAAGCATAAAATTCAACATTTTAAACCATATCAATGCCAACATGGATTGCAACTTGAGTTGAACACAAATAGTGAGCATGAGGTAGAGATGTGATCCTGTGAAGACCTTCCCAATCCGAAATGACAAAGTCATGAGGCAATGTGCAAAATCTATATTATGTTCACAAGTTCTTTTGTATGGTATGCTAGTG